CTCTCTCTCTCTCTCTCGCTTCCCCACTCTCTCCTTCTTTTCCCTCTCTTCCTTCCTTAATTTTTATTGGTAAGACTCCTGGGTGGGTGGTTGGCGGGTGCTCAGACTCTGGTGTGATTTGCTCCCTTCTTTTTCCAATCGCCAGCTTTTTGTTTAGGTTACTCTCTTGTTACACCTCTAAACTTCGGCATTTATATGGCCTAAGTGTTTTGCAAGTGCCGTAAAACCCTGAATAACTAAAGAAATTTGAGTTCAATGTGCCAGGGCAGGGGGGGTTCATATAACGTGTGGATCTAACTTTTTAATGTTCTTTATACTTTTTTTCAAAACAAAATATGACAGGCTTGTCACTGTGTTTGTCGCCAAAACTAGAATTTTTCAACAGATACACAATTCATCTTCTTCTCTTTTTTTTAAAGACAGGTCTTAGGTTTAAAAATTCCTGTCGACAAATCAAGAATCGCAGACATGCGCATTTTGTTCTTCGTGCTCGACCTGTCTTTGCGAACTTCATGAACAGGCTCAATTGACTGAACCAAGAGAAACTGTCATCTTTCGGATTTTTTCTTGTCTAACAGTATAAAGAACATTTAAAAGAAAAAAGTTAAATCCACACTATCTACTAATTACATTGACCTTGTAATCAAAATTTTCAAGTCTTTTATTTTTGACACTCTTGGTTACAGAAAAGCGTAACTGATTATAACAAAATGTGTCAAACTGTCTAATGGAAAGGTACAAATAGTTTAAGTTCTATCTCTCTTATTAGATGCTTATTTTAATTAAGAAAGAAACAAATGACTGAGGGATAATAGATGTGCCAAGTGACAGAAAAATACTTCTTTCTCTTGTCTTTTTCTTTTTTTCTTTTAAATTATAGTGAACACGGCTTTCTAGAACTAAGACGGCGACATTTACATATAATTTCTGCAAAACAATACATGTATCCATTGTTGAAAATTAAGAACTCTTTAGCTTCTCAGATACCTACTGTTCTTTGCATAAGATTAATCAGAAGAAAAAAAATTTCAAACTAAAAAAAAAAGCAACTAAAAAGGCTTCCATAGACTACCGAACTGATTAGGATGTTCTTTTTTAAACCGATAACAATTTCTGTGCTGTCCCAACGAACAAAACATTCAGTATTTTCTTTTTGAAGTTATAAAGGTAATTTATTGATGTCTATACTTTCTGTGTTCAAGCACTTATTATGACTGCTGTTATAAACCTTCCATAAAAGCTCTTGATAAGGATGTAACTTTTGAAACCCATACCATTTCTATGCTGTCAAGGAGAACGAAACATTAACTATTCCAAATACGTTTTAAAGTCTATTTAATTTTGTTTTCTATACTTTCTGTGCTCATAGCACTTGAAATGACGCTGTTGTAAACCTTGAATAAAAGCTCTTGGACCCGCCTGTTGCCATCTTCCTCTTTCTGCCGAGTCGGGGGAAACTCCCTGGTCAGTCGTGGACACGGATGCACTGGTCATCGGCAGATCTCAGACTGATGGACACTGGAGCGTCGTGGTGGACACGGAGCCTGGACACGGGGTAGAGCCGTGCCTGGACATGGTCATAGGTGGCCATCTTGTGTAGAGGGTATGGCCGTGCCTGGACATGGTCATAGGTGGCCATCTTGTGTAGAGGGTACAGCCTTGCTTGAGGACCATCGTGAACGGCGACTCTAGAAAGAGGGAACATCCTGGCTTCATGAACCTTTTCCACCGCTACTCTAGAAAGTGGGTACATCTCAGCTTTCTGGGTATCTTGAACAGCTATTCTGGACAGTGGATACATTTCTGCTTTCTGGATTCCATGAACAGCTACTTTTGAAAGCGGATACATCTTGGCTTCCTCAACGCTACCCACCGCTACTTTGGAAAGTGGATACATCTCTGCTTTCTGGAAGCCATGAACAGCGACCCTAGCGAGGGGGAACATCTCGGCCTTTTCATTACCGTGCACAGCCACCCGAGATTCTGGGTACACCTCGGCTCTCCGAATATCGTCAGGGACGGCTACTCTGGAAAGTGGGTACATTTCTGCTTTCTGGATACCATGAACAGCTACCTTTGAGAGTGGATACATCTTGGCTTCCTCACCGCTACCCACAAGTACCCTGGAAAGTGGATACATTTTGGCTTTCTCCACGTGACCCACCGCTACTCTAGAGAGGGGAAACAATTCTGCTTTTTCCTGACCATGAACCGCGACGCGAGAGAGTGGGTACATTTCGGCTTTCCTCGCAGTTGGAGCAGCCGGTCTGGGCAAACGTTGCAGTTCAGCCTCGGTGTCTTCTCCGTGAACAAGGACTTTGGACTTCGGGTACAGTTCGGCCCTCTCGCTGAAGGTGGGGGAAGTCCCTGTGTGTGTGTGGAGAGGGGAAAGAGACATTAGTCAGTCCAAAAAAGATCTGTTGATATCCTGAGTGAGAGGCGTAGAAAGAGACAAATGGCTGTCTTTAGAGTTACCAAGTTCTATTTTCAATGTCCCTAGTTTTGAAAAATTAATTGATGTAAAAAATGTTGAGTTTTTACATGTCCAATCAAGCTTTTCGAATGCAGTTCTATGAATGTCTTGATAACTACTCTGAATAATATTACGATTTCGAAATAGCAGGTAGAACATAATTTGGTTTCTGACCTCATGGTCTTAGTAACTAAAAATGGCCAAAAAGTTTCTTTTTCGTAGAAAAATATGCCAAACCAGGCAAAATCAGGACAAAACGAGACAAGAGACGAAGAGGAAAGCAAAACAGATCAGGACAAGGAAATAACACGTTTGCAAAAATGGGACGCGGCAATAAGACACGAACAAAATTAAATAATCATAAAAGATAATAGATAGCATAACTTGTATAGTGCAGATTCCCACGCAACAGAAAGCTCTATGCGCTTCACGATCTATAAAGGAATCAAATGAAGGGGTCAAGTGAAAAAAACCCAAGCAAACAGTAGGAGTCAATTTGAAAAAAAAACCCAAAATAAACAACGGTACTAGACTAGCCCTTAACTTCCAACAGTACCTGGAGTGTATCCAATAAGTTGTAAAGCAAGTGAAATACTCATTAAGTCATTCACATACCATGTTTTTATTAAAGCATTATTCAGGGCTAGAACTCAGATGGCAGCTGGACCAGAAAAGTACAGTAAAGTAAAGAGCACGTACTTTATTACCTATTACAGCAAAGCAAGTTAAGAATACACCAATTTTGTCTCCACAAAAAACAACAACTGCAAACAAACAATTTTTAAAATAAATAGGCTAAGTTGAATTTGATTGATGTGACTTATTCTTTAAAAAAAAAACTTGACCCTTTCAAATCTTCAAACACTTCTTACCTGCTCGGGTAAACCCCAACAGTAGCACCACTAACAGACACTTCCAGAACAATGTCCCTGACATAGTGCCCTTCTGTCACGGACGTACTTCTTCTGAGCTAGAACGACCTATGGGGAAATTTAGTCAGAGGCAGGAACAACATGACATTTTGGATTTTAAAGAATGTAAAGTTTTCTGGGACATAGTAGGTTCTGTACTGGTTCACATGTACAGATAGAAATGTAGAGAGATAGATAGATAGATAGATAGATAGATAGATAGATAGATAGATAGATAGATAGATATATAGATAGATAGATAAATGAATAAATAGATACATAGACACATAGATATATACGATCGGTAGATTGATCGATAAAAGGAGGAGTCAAAATTGAAGAAAAAAAGTAAGTACATCATCATCATCATCCAGTGCCAGATCTGCGACACACATCGGCGATCATGGTTCTTCCTTCATTCCTTTGCTCGGATGCTCTTTAAAAAGCTACGTTACCCTGATCTTTCCCCGTTACCCATTGGTTTAGGTTCCCAAAGTTGGTTGTTCTGGGCCTACCCCTGCCTCGTTTGCCTTCAATTTTGCCAGTGAGAGCTAAATGTTCAAGACCTTTATGTCTATTCAGGTGTCCCAAAAACTGTATAACAATTATTTGTCGTTTCCTGATTGTTTTTAACAGTGAACGTCCCACGTGGACTTCATAAGGCACTACCTCATTCGACGTCTTTTCTTCCCAAGATATTCCCAGTAGTCTCCTAAAAAAACACCTTTCCGTTGTTTCTTTTCCATTTTCCCTGTGTTTAATGGTGGTCAGCATTCACAGCCATATAGAAGTAGTGAGAGAATAGCAATATGGAAATAAAAACGTTTTGAATGTGTAACAGGCTGTCACGTTGTATATCCACAAAAGGGAAAGGATAGTAGAGTGGAAAGAAAGAGCCCGAAATTGTAAACGTTCGGGTTCGTTATGGTGGTTGGTCAGAACAGAAACGAAACCACAAGCTATAACTTTAACTTTACCAATAAATTATAGTGCAGTCAACAATCCGTGGCGCAACTTATCAAATATCTCCTCGACTATCAAACATAAACTCTCCATCTTTTGCATAGTGACTTTTATCAAATTTTAATTATCTTTACAGATTAATATTTTTGTAAACACCTGTTAGCTCTATTCTAGAAAATTCCTTTATCAACACTAATTAAAAATCCCAGTGGGTGGTTTCTATAGATTTTAAAAACTTTACAGCTGGGACAATATTGCTTTTAAAAGCAAGTCCGTCATTTTTACCTAAATGTGAGATTATCTTTATTGAATGCATGTATGGAGAAAATTAAGGGCAGAAAAGTGTTCACTCTAAAACTAATTTCTTGTAACTGGTTTTGCCGCTGAAAAGTGTCATTGGTGAGCTGTGACGTAAGCCAAATGCGTATACAAAATGTGTGTGAGAAGCTGGAAGTGCTGTGGACAATTCCATTTTCCGCGTGAAGGAGATCTGTAGTATTTTATATTAAATTAAAGAAGAAGAGTTCTTTTAATCTAGCCTCAATTGTTATGGAAACTCAATTGTTATGGGAAAATATGATTAAGTTAAGACAAATTAATACAAACTGCTGTTAAAAATCTGGGTGAAACGAAGATAGATAAATAGATAGATAGATAGATAGATAGATAGATAGATAGATAGATAGATAGATAGATAGATAGATAGATAGATAGATAGATAGGTAGATATGGGGAGATGGAGAGGATAGATAGATAGATAGATAGATAGGTAATGGACACATAGATACATAGATAAATAGATGCATAGATAATAGACAATAAATCGAATGATACATAAAACGAAGCGTCAAAATTGAAGCAAAGAAAAGAAGTATATTATTTTTTATCATTTTATTCAAAATATGTATTGCTCAATCAAAAACTTTGCCTTCTATTTTTACATTTATTAGCCAGAACAAGGGGACATGAAATTCCCAGCGCAAAATTTTGTCTGCCCGTCTAAAAAAAATTAAGAATGCCAGACGAGTTGCTCTAGATATGGCAGTCAAGCATGCAGTGCAAGGACATTCATCGTTGCTCAGTGTGAGGGGAAATTCATTTTTTATTGGGCTAATTGGTCGCTTTTAAGGACAAGCAGGCTAACCCAGATTTCGGGGGTTTCCAGAAATCTTGACCTACACCAAAAATGGGCATTGTCCTTCCTATAGGAGAAGTTGGGTTCCATTGGTGTGTGTATTTGTTTGGTTATAGAGAAAACTCTCCTTGTCTTTTAAAGAAACTGAAAAAGGGGCAAAAACTTTACCTTCAATTTTCTCAAAACAGCATTTTCCGGGATAGCCCCCTTGTGCTTAAAAGCGACCAATAAATCTGAGAGAGTGTTAGAACGGGTTATGTATTGAGGTATCCATATTATGTAAAAAAAACCAAACAGTTTCAAAATCATCTAATCATCCCTCCTTCTCTCTCTGTGCCGCCCCCCCCCCCCTTTGCCCAGGTCCTTTTTTAATCTCACTCACTCACTCACTCACCCACCCACTATCTCACTCACTCACTCACTCACTCACTCACTCCCTCACTCCCTCACTCCCTCACTCCCTAACTCTCTCTCTCTTTCTCTCTCTGTCTCTGTCTGTCTGTCTGTCTGTCTGTCTGTCTGTCTGTCTGTCTGTCTGTCTGTCTGTCTGTCTGTCTGTCTGTCTGTCTGTCTGTCTGTCTGTCTGTCTGTCTCTCTCTCTCTCTTTGCCACCCCCCCCCCTTCTCTCTCTCTTTCTCTCTCTCCGTCCTCACTCTCTCTCTACTTCTCTCTCTCTCACAAATACACAACCACACACACACACACACACACACACACACACACACACACACACACACACACACACACACAAATATACACACACACACTGTTCGCCCCTCTCTGTCTCCCTCAATTAGAAGAAAACCCTATGACGCTGGTTGAAGCTGAAGGATGATCGCCCCCACATCAGATGTAAACCTGGATAAGACACATAACGAACTGACATTTACACCGGTAACGAAAGGGCAAATCTAAAATATTATGTCTGTGAACTTCTCCGTCTAAAAAGATAACATTTTTTTTCGTTAAAATCCTTTTATTTCTTTGAAACAAAAATCTGGTTTTAACATTAATCGATTTTTAAACTCTTATTTTTCTCGGTTGGAAAATATTAGAAAAACAACACAAACACAGAAAAACACTCCGCCCCCAAAAAAATAAAAAAATAAAATAAAATAAAATAAAATAAAAATAAAATAAAATAAAATAAAGTAAAATAAAATAGAAAAATAAAAAATAAAATAATAAAGTAAAATAACATTTAAAAAAATGAAAAATAAGATAAAATAGAATTTTATTAAAAATTATAATTTTAAAAAATAATTTAAAATTAAAAACCAAATAAACAACAAAAAAGAACTGTTATATCAAAATAACAATGGACGAAACACTCACCTCTGTACACCTGTGTTTCTATTTTTTAGGACAACCTGCTATATTGTTATCATGCACGTGCTGGGGTGAGCAAACGCGTGATTTTTTTTCCGTCTGTCATTCCAACACGTTCAGACTTCTCCATTTATAAGGCTTCAAGGCAGTCACAGTCACAGAGAAAACACGCGGGTACCTTTTACAACATCAGCTGAGGACATAATTTGGTGCCGTAAAAGTAGAATGGCGAACCTTAGAATCTGTCAGGATGAGAATACTACTTGCACACGAAACGACACTGAAGCAATACCGACACGGCACCGACACAATACAAAAGTGACAATAAGGATAATTTGTGACGGTGTTCGCTCGTGTCGTTTTGCGAACTAATTGAGACTATACCGTCAGTTCAGCCTACACACCAGTCATCATTTTTTTTCTTTTTGTAAGTGTTTTACAGCGCTGGCAACAGCATATTTAGGTCATATGAGCGCACGGGACACATTAAACACGTTCAGTTTTGTAGGAATTAATTTTTTGAATTTTCACCGGGTGGCGCCGAAGTCTATTCTTTTTTTTTTGGACCACCAAGTGGTCTTTAACGTGCTCAACTTGCACACGGGACCTCCGAGATTTTTTACCCTTATCCGAGAAGGCTAGGTGTTTAATCTTACCTACCCTAAGATCAAGGGTGTGGTTGAAAAACAGCAGGAAGAAGGAGCCAAGAAGTAGCAGGAGAGAGAAAGAGAGAGAGAGAGAGAGAGAGAGAGAGAGAGAGAGAGAGAGAGAGAGAGAGAGAGAGAGAGAGAGAGAGAGAGAGAGAGAGAGAGCATTAATGCAGCAATCATTACGGTGTCGTTTCGGTTGCATTGACGTTTCGTGTACTCAAGTTTTCAGTGGTTTATCCCATACCTGCTATACTTATAACGGGTTATTTCTTCGGCTCTGTTTTAGTAGCGTCACGTGACCCACAGAGTGGTCATTTCATTGTCCAGCGTGGCATAGACACGTCAGCGCATCTGTCTGTCTCCCAGATTGTAAAACAGTATAGCTTAATACGTGGGGCCCATTGGGGGATTGGGTTGGTTCTGGTCGGGGCGGCTTGCTAGCCAGATTGAGAGCGCAAAGCGGCTATCATGGTATGATTAAGGGTGCTCATGTGGGGATCGGGTCTGGTCGGATCGGTTTACTTGCCAGATTGAGGACGCAAAACGGCTATCGTGGCACACGCCGATCGCGCCCGACTCTCCGACTCGAAAATAAACGCGTTATTTTCAGGCGACGAGTGGGATGATCGCCCCCAACTCGACCCGACCCTGTCCGACGCGACCCGATCCCATCCGTAATACGGGGTTCCCACTATGGCTGGATCGGCCCGATCGCCCGACTCAGTCGCCTGAAACTGAAAACAAACACGTTTATTTTTGAGGTGATCGAGTCGGGCGATCGGCTCCATCGGCTGATCCCATCCGTAGTGGGCACCCGGTATAATGGGCACCCCGTTTAAGGCAAAGACCTTACCATAACCTCTTTGGCTCAGGGTCACATAATCATCCGGGGAGCGAGTGGTCAGCGGGCGCCACTGGGCTATCTTACCTTAGTTTTAGTAAGAGTTTTAAGGCACTAGCAACACAATAAGGTCATATAAGTGCTGAAGAATAGGTGTGTTACAAGAGTATACACAGGCACAAAAAAGAAGGAGGAGGGGAGATAAGGACGACAGATGTTTGATAGGAAAGAAGATGGAAACCACTCCAGAGCACCCTGCGCTATCATAGAATTGCAAAGTTCTATTTGATATTTTTGGCCGTGTTGAATTAGTAAGACCATGAGTTTAGAAACCAAATTTTATCATAGAGTTAGTTATACATAACATACATAGCGTAAATGCATAATACTTTGTTTTACACATGTCCATTTTTAAGATGTGATATATAATGGTTGAATTAATGCACATTGTGCATTTTTTAGAAAATGGAAATGTGCTGCATAAATGCTATTTATTATTATTATTATTATTATTATTATTACTATTACTATTATTATCATTATTATTATTTATTATTATTATTATTATTTTTATTATTCTATATGCTCTAGCAAAATCGTAAGATTATTCAGAGTCTTTATCGAGATATTCAAAGAATTGCATTCGAAAAAGTGTTGCGAAACTTAAAAAAAGTTTGAGGTCAAATTTCTCAAGACTAAGTACAGAGCAGATAGAACTTTGTCATTCCAGGGTAGCCACAGGTAGGTTCAGCTGCCTTTCTCTTTTCCCCTGTGGTTTATGTGTGTCTGTCTTACTTTCTCCCAACACTTTAATGATGGACGTCGTTTCGATGTGCGTATCTGTAAAAAAAAAAAAGGAAAAAAAAAAAGAAAAAAATTAATTAACATGTTTTATTTTATTTATATAAAAGAATACAAAAAGAAACAAACAGACTGACAGACAAGCAAACAAATAAACAAACATATAAACCACCAAGCAAACAAACAAAACATGGAAACAAAAAGAAAGAAAAAAAAGAACGAAACCAAACCCAGGAAAAGAGTACAGACACAAACGTTGAAAAAGTATAGGAAGCAATAATATAATTCTTTTTACGATAAATTAGTTCCCTTTGTTTGTCAAATTATTTTGTTTTCTCAGAAAATACATGACGTATATATAAGACAGTTTGTTCACAGCAGGGTGTATTGATTTCTGCTAGGACCAGAGCCCAAATCTTTCAGCTTGGAAGCTCGGCGTCCAGTGACCACTCAACCGGCCTTATCAGATCTGGGGCAGCTCCGATTGAGGGGAAATAGCTTACCATTACTCGCGAAATTTATACGAATTTCTATCAAGTTTAGGCCATATTGCGACATTATAATTTCTCAATCCATCATCTCCTCGTGGTGATTCCTGCTTCTTTGTGTATAGCGAGGGTAGGCGCGTACTCCTCACCAGACCCCCCTTACCTCTTTTTCCTCCCTTTTTCAAACTATCCTGGCCAGTTACTTATTTATTTTCTCTGTCTGTCTCTGGCTGTTTGTCTGTGTGTTTCCCCC